TAAAAGAAGAAACAGGCTCAGAGGGTTTCCGTTGCTTGTTCAAGGTTTCCAGCAGGACTTCAGCCCCAGGCTGTCTGATTTGGGCCCCACTCTCCGCCTCTAGGCTTCCACGGTATCTCATGAGTGCCTGTGACGTGCGATTCCATCGGCCAATGTGCGCGTGTCACCTGGAGTTGACGTGTGCTGTGTCAGGACACACGTGTTCGGGTCCTGTTTAACGTCCTTAACAAGCGTCCAGACTAGGCCGTGCTACGTCTGTCCACGGACCACTCACGGCTCAGTGAGGGCGAATAATTTGTCAGAGGTCACGGAGCTGGCCAGCTGCAGAGCCAGAGCAGCGCTGTGGCCGTGTGTCAGGGGTACACTGGTGGGCCACCGTCCCCCGGCACCGTGGTTTAACCACGTCACGTCCTCGGCCTGGCCAGCCCCCACTTCGCCCCTGCTCTGTGCCCAGCCTGATGGAGGGCCTGTTTCTGGACTGCTCTGTCTCATGGTGTCGGGTAGAGAGCAGATGGCGAACTGCACGCCCGACCTGAGAGGCTCTCCTTGGGAGTGGCACAGGTCACTCCGCTTTCGTCAGCCAGGAGAAAGTCACCTGGTGAAGCCTGACATCGCGGACACGGTAGGAAAACTGGCTCCCGGACAAAGCCGCAAAAGTGATCCGAGGAACGGGCCCCACTACACGTCTCCTCCCGGTAGCAAGTGTGTCCTTCCCTTCCCTTTGCAGTCCTAAACACCCGGCCCTTCCAGGGGACGCGCCCCGAGTCCTGGGTGCTCATGGCCCCGCTCCCAGTCTGAACTTGTGATGGCCTCAGTACTGAGTCTGGGCGGGACTCTCCGCCCTGAGACGTGCAGACTCGCACCTCACTCCATCTCTGAGTCAGAGAGGCAGATCTAGGTGTCTCTATTTAGAGACGAGATACGGAAAGATTTAGTTGTCTCCAAGCATTTCTATTTGGCTTGAAAACCACTCCGGGCACGTGTGCTCATGTGCCCAGAATCCAAGGGGAGAGCAGAGGAGAAGGATTACGGCAGGGCCGTCCCCTCTGGGGGTGATTTCGCACGTTCCCTCTTGCTGTGTCTCTCTGCCTCTCTCCTCAAGTACACTCGCCTTATGGCAAAAACCTAAAGACAAAAACAAAACAATACTTCTATTTGGAAAGAGAGCTATCAGGGATTCCTGACCACCGGTTTATAAAAACTCCGCAGCGATGCTGGGCCCACCTTGTAAGGGGCCTCTAGGATGGAGACTGCTCCTTGGCAGGTCCTGACTCCACCCCTGGAAGGAGGTCTCCAACCGGTTCTCCGCCACACCCTTGGGGTCCATTCTGTGGAGGGTCCTGCCCTTCCCTGCCCTTTTCTTTGTAAATTTACTTAATGATTTCTTCAGAGAGAGAAGGAGAAACCCCAACAGGGGCCTCGCCCACCCGTGACCCACCCCTGGCCCCCGCCAGCCCAGATGAGGGGCAGCACGTGCAATCCCAGTGTACGCAGGGAGGCGGCGGGACACCATCCCAGGCCTTTCCTGCGGCCCGGCCCTGCAGCACAGTGCACGTGTTACACTGCACTGTGGTTCCTGGCCACATCTGAAGGGGGCATGGGAGAAGATCTCCTCAGCCCGCTTTCTTCCACACAAGGTTGGGCCCACAGACGGCTCCGACTCATTCTAAGTGTCCAGCTGATGCAGTCTCCCGCAGGCCTCCTGCTGGCTCTCCGGTACCACATGCTTTCCTCCCTCTCGCTGTCTTTCTGTTTTTCCTTCGGCTTATTTATTTATTCCACGAGCTAGAGAGAGAAAAGGAGATACCCCTAGAAGGGTCCTCATGCAGCGATCCACCCCCAGCCTCGGCCGGCCCCAGATCACGGGCCCATGCATGGCAGGGAGGTCTCCAGACGCGAACCTGGCGCTTCCTCACATGGTCGGCCTCATACCATCTGGCCCCATGCTAGCATTCCTAAGACGGTAGTCACCTCCTACCCAGTCAGCTCAGTTCCACGTGCCACCACTACCACAGCTGTTCCCTAGACGTCCCTCTAGACCCACCCACTGCTCCCGTGAGCTCATTGTCTGCCTGAGAAACATTCTTTCCCACTAAAGGGTTATCCTGGCACCATCTTGATTGGTCCTTGCTACGAGATGGAGGGTTTTTTCTTCAGTCTTTCCTGAGGTATAATTTACACACTGTGTAATTCACCTGGTGTAATAATGCACGGTTCTATGATTTTAGTAAATTTGTAGCTGTGCAAAAACATCCAGTTTCAGAACACTTTCACTGCCCCAGAAGCTCCCTCCTGCTCATTGGCAGTCATCCGCACTCCTGCCCCGGCCCCAGGCAATGACTCGTCCTCTTTCTACCTCTACGAATTAGCCTCTTCCAGCCATTTCTTGTAGACTGAGTCATGTCCTGTGTAGCCTTTTGATGTGGTTTGTTACTTAGCATTCTTTTTTTTGAGAGAGAGATTTCTGCTATAGGGCACATGCACTCGCCAGAGAGACAGATAGAACGTGAGAAATCCCCCCTGTGGGGGATGGCCATGCTGCAATCCCTTCTCCTTCATTCTCCCCTCCGGATCTTGGGCACGCACCCACGTGCCTGGCATGAGTTTAAACCGCCAGGTCCGGGATTTGAACCACAGTAGACTACATGGGAGTCCAGCGATGTAACCACTATGCCATCTGCTGGTCCCCCACTTCGCATGATTTTGAGATTCGCACACATAGCACATGTCTGTAATTCGTTCCTTTGCATTGCTAGGCAGTGCTCCATCGTACAGACACACCGCCTTCCGCTTACGTGTTCGACAGCTGAGAGACACGTACGTGCTTCAGTGGGGGGTCCATGACGAATCAGGCCGCAGTAAACTTCTGAGTACACGTCATTGTGGGAACCTGTTTTCTTCTCTTTTGGGAAGAACCCTAAGCATGGGATTGCTGGATTTAAAATATATATATTTATTTCATTTTATTTATTATCATTATTTTTTTTAAATTTGCTATTGGCCACATGTGCTTGCCAGAGAGAGAGAGAGAAACAGGGAAAGTAAGAAAGGAACCTGGCAGGTCCAGGACTCGAACAGCCATGCGGGAGTCCAGGGCCTTAAACACCACGCCGCCTGCTGGCCCCAGAATTGCTGGATCTTATGATACGCTTATGTGTATCTTTTAAGAAAAGTGCTAAACATTAAACGCGTCATGACTTTCCAGACAACCCAGTCGTTTCCCACGAAGGCTGTACCGTCTGGCGTTTCCACCAACAATGGGTGAGGGTTTCCATTTTTCCACGCCACAGAACTGAGTTTCCATCTGCCTTTTCCACTCAAAGTTCTTGTCAGTCTTCTTCCATTGTCTAGTTGTGAGAGTAGATTGGCTCTTCCACCTCTCCTGAATTCAAGTTCCTCAATTCGGGACTCTGTATTCATCTTCATCCTTACTGCAATTGTCCAAACCTTTTCTTCCCCTACACATTTCTGTCTCTGTAGTACTTCGCCAAACACAGCTAGGAGCCACCGAAGTCTGCTAGTCATCTTCTGACTCGCAGCCTCTTCCCTTAAAGCCGGCAGCTCATCCAGGTACCGCCTGCTGTCCGCGTTAATGCAGGCAAAGGCTTTATTACAGCTTGGTCCCAGCATGACCGACTCCCCTCCTTTCAGCCTTAACGAGGCCTTGACACCTTACACAGAAGTTTTCGCTACAGTGGTGTACCTTTTCTTTCTCTGTTTTCCTTTTCCTTTTTTTTTTTTTTTTGAGAGAGGTTTTTGCTATAGGGTGCGTGCCCTCGCCAGACCAACTGGGAGAGACAGAGAGACAGAAAGTGAGAAATCACCCCCCAGGGGAGATGGCCACGCCTCGATCCCATCTCCTCCATTCTCCTCTCGGGATCTTGGGTACACACGCACATGCGCCCGGCGTGAGTTTTAAGCCACCGGGTCTGGGACTCGAACCACGGTCGACTGCGTGGGAGTCCAGCGACATAGCCATTACGCTAACTGCTGGTCCTCTTTCTCTGTTTTCTTTTCTTTTCTCTTTTCCTTCTTTATTAGTGCCAGAGAGTGCACATGTGAGGGAGAGAGCACCCACAGTGGGGCGTGGTCACACGCAGCTCATTTTCCTCTCTGCCGTCAGGATCCGGGGCACGTATGCACACGTGCTCAGTGTGTTTTTCAGACAGCCGAGGCTGACATCTGAACCATGGTTGGCCATGTGGGATCTGACTCCCTTAACCACGAGGCCACAGGGCCAGCCCAGTGCATCCCACTTCTAATGGCAATTTCTGAAGCAGTCAGGATAAAGAGAACGAGCTATGGGGACAAATGCCCAGGAATCTCAGAGGCTTAGAAAAAAACGACAGTTGTTTTCGTTTTCTTTCCTTATATGCTGAACGTCCATCCCGCTAGGCCAGACTTGTGCTCCAGATCATCTTTACTCCAGATGATCATCTTTACTCCAGGGACTAGAGCTGCCCCGTCTGGGACATTGCTTGTTTTCTGAGAAAGTACAAAGGGGACATTGTGGGTCAGGCACCAGCTCCTAAAGTCCCCAACCCCTGAGGTAGCAGAGCAGGTTAGTGACTGATGCTGCCATGATGGGGCAGGCAATAGACTCTCCCCTCAGGGGACAACAGCAAGAATTCCAAACACGGGTATAATTAGCATATCGCACTTTTTCTCTTACATCCTGAAGGCCCTGGGGAGGAGGGAAACAGCTGTCCTTTGGTTTCCCCAGAGCTGTCTGGAGTTAACGTACCACCAAAATACCTTGTGGGCCAAGAAGTCGGGTCCCCTGGTGTGGCTGGCCCCCAGCCTCCCGCTTTTGAAGCGCAGAGTTACTGCGGGCTGTTCTTTACCTGTCAGCCCTGTCGCTTAGGCCCGGGGAGAAATCTGACCGTGTGGACAGTCTCTCTAGCGTTCACTCCCCGGTGCCCAAGGTGCTCAGGGGCTCAGTAAATCCATATTTTTCTTGACTGCCAGTTTAAATGGACCCATTTATGTTTTCTTCCCAGCTGTCTTTTGGGGCGACATTGCTTTGGATGAAGAAGATCTGAAGCTATTTCACATCGACAAGGTCAGAGGCTGGACTGGGCAGTCGGCAGAGGGGACAGGACATGGCACAGGTGAGCACCGCTTCTCCTGCCCGGGACGGCGGGGGCCCTGGGCATCGGCGTCCGGCCTGTGGGAAGCCAGACAGCACTCCCTCTGCCGGGGGGAGGCTGTGGAGCTAGGGCCTCCACGCTTGCAGATCCTTCTGAGAAGAGCTGCGTCTGGCTCAGCCTGGAGCTCGGCACTGGTTCCCGGGACTCTGGCCCAGGGATCTGGTGCTTCCAGGCCGCAGAGGATTCTGGGGTGGGCTCTAGGGCTTGTGTGATAACACGGACAGCGACCACCCCGGCCACGGGCTGGTGTGCAGAGGCAGACCCGGGTGGGCCAGACGTGGGTCACTTCTCACCCTCTCCCTCCGTGCTGTCCCCTCCAGCGTGGGGTGGACAGTAATGAACCTGGTCTCCCGAGGCCTCACCCCCGGAGCAGCCCCGGGAGCTGCCTGGGCTGAGATGCGCGTGGGGCTGCAGGCCACTGCTGTTGGGTGACAGGCTCACATGTGCCCCTAACAGTGGCCACTTTCCTTACGAGCCCTTCCTTTCTCAAGAGGCTTTGCTGAGCAGCTCTCAGGCTGGGTGTGGTCCGGGGAGAGAAAGAGGACAGGACGTGACCCTTGCTGTCAGGGAGCCTCCGGCAGGCAGCTGGCTCTAGACCTGGTCTGGCTCCCTCACGTCTCGAGCCTCAGTGTTCCCATCTGTGAAGTGAGGCTGAGGCCGGTGCTCTTCCCCTGGGGCCAGGGCGCTGAACTCAGCGCAGGGGGCTAGCCCCGTATGCAGCAGCGAGTTCTCAGGGAACGGCTTACTTTGCCGAGATGCTCGCATCGCAGGGACGTGTAAACGAGAAGACGGTCACTTCTTGGGCCACACGTGTTGTGACCAAGAGACGAGGGAGTGGAGAGGTCTGCGGGCCTCACGTGATTGTCACTCTGCCACGAAGCATGAGTAGGGCCCTCAGCGGGAGCAGAGATGTTTAGGTGGGGACGAAGCTTGTGCACAGAGGCCCTTTCTGTCTGGGGGCAGCGGTAAGGCGTGGGTCACTGGAAGGTGGTGGTTTGGGGTGAGCTGTGCCGGCAGGTGCGTCTGCTGAGGCTGGCCGGGGTGGGCGGGGAAGGGCCTGCTGCTGGACTAGCAGTTTGGGCTTGGACCGCAGGGGAGGCCGGGCAGCTCCTGAGTAGGAGTGGGACCCGTCCTGCACTGGCGGGGGCCGCCCACTGTGTTCTCGCGCCCCCCAGCGCACCCG